GATGGCCCAGGCCAGGGCGAGGGCAAGATCCGTTGCAGTCACCTCTTGATCAAGCACAGAGACAGTAGGCGACCAAGCAGCTGGAAGGAGGCGGAGATCACCCGATCGAAGGAGGAAGCGATCGAGATCCTTCGGGGCCATGAACAGCGCATCCACTCGGGTGAAGTTAGCTTGGGCGATATCGCAGTCTCGGAGTCGGATTGTAGCAGTGCCAGGAAGAAGGGCGACCTGTATGTTACATCCATAGTCGTTGTAGTTTCCTCCTTGGTTATATTCAATGCTAATTCTTCACAAGTGGGTTCTTCGGCCGTGGCGAGATGCAAAAGGAATTCGAGGATGCAGCCTTTGCACTGCAGCCAGGCCAGGTTAGCGGCATCGTTGAGACGGCCTCTGGAGTCCATCTTATTGAACGGTAAGTCGTCTTTCTGTCTGCTGTGCAGCAATTAAAGAGACGTAAAGCTGATAAGAAGTCAAATACAGCGTCCAGTGATATGTTTGTTCGCAAATTATAGTGTTTAGAGTTACAAAAAACCATGTATTTCTGTTCAGATTCAATCTAGCCCACTGCAGTACCTGTAATAAAGCTGGAGGTCCGTTGGCCACCTAGTAGATATACATCTCCCTCTAACCCTGTCAGCGTCAATTATTCACAGTTCTCTGACTATGTAGTTCCTAATGAGGTGCAGGGCAAAAACCTACAGGCTGACTGCCCGCTACTAAGCGCTGATATACTAGTATGCAGCTTGCTGTGACTTGATTTTAGTTAGGCCTCAATGAGGAAAGCCCAGGCCAATGTCAATTAATCGTACAAAACCACCCAGACTCTTACATTGCGACTCGTTTACTCTGTAGATCAGTTCAAGTCATCGGTCAACATGCTTTCAGTACTTTTCAGTAGGCTTGAGCAAAAGACAATTCCTCCATCAAAAAGCTATAGATATTTGTCACGTGCCCAGATAGCCCTATCCAATTGCCATGTCAATAGGTGAGTTGCCGAAGATGAAACGATGAACAATGTATTGTCTCACATTGTGAATGAGAGTATAAAGATCATGGTAATAATTCAATGCTTTTCCCTTTTTGTTGTCTTTTTTCCCTTTTCTTTCTTCCTTCGTTTTGGGCGTACTAGCTCTCTCCCTGGAACATCGCGTGATTCTCACCAATATATATCGGCAATACAGAGTGTTTTGAACCACACTGTATTCAACTACCACAGTCATCACCCGTACCAGTTCAAGCTGAACGCAAAGCAAACAGACAATTACGATGTGCATAGTGTACACCCGCAAATACACACTCTGCGGATGCATCTGGGATGACTCCTTAAGCCGCTGCAAGTACTGGGAGTGGTGCCGCAGACGAAGACTGATTCAGAGCGAGTACGAGACGAGGTGTGGTGAATGTTCGGAGAAGGTTACACCTGGTACGGAACAGCAGAGACAAGTCGGAGATGCACTTCAATCGGCCCAGGATGGAGGGCCGAAGGAGTCGATGATCCGGGAAACCGAGTGTGATCTGTCACGAAGCTGTGATCAGGTTATCTTGGGGAAGAGAGTGGTCAAGCGGAGGACATAGAAGGGCAGTGTCACTACGTTTCAACTTAGGTGCTTCCTGGGGAGCTGGGAGGAAGTGATAAACTCGAAGTGCCGATTCAGAGCGCTTTGAGTAATTTCCAATCTGAATCCTGGATTACTGGCAGGCGTCATTTCGTCGATTCAACGCTTACGCAATCTTCATTGCTAATTATAGATCACGACGATAACATCTCCTCGAATTCGGACAGTTCATAGTCAACAACTAGATGCTCGAGTTCAGTCGGTTCAATCGAGAAGTAATGGCTTCAATGACAGCAGACCTGAAGACGATGATTTAGCCTATGCAGCACTTATCACTAGAAGAAAGGACTTACTCTCGCTCGACCATCCTCATGGCGTCGGAAATCTTCGCCCTTTGTAGCCTCTGCGGGACTCGTGGCCCAGCGGCAGTTGGGGACGCTGGGCTGCCAGGTTCTGGTGCGACAGGTGCCTTGGTCGCAATGGACTTGGCCTCGGCCAGCAGATCCGCTGCTATCTCCTTTACCTGCAGCAAATGTCAGCATTACTGTGTGTGGATCATGTAAGCGATGAGACTCACGGTTTCCAACCGCTGTGACAAACTCTGATCCTTCTCTTCTTCTTTCTTCTCTCTCTCCAACGAAGTAGACAGTGCCTCCACTTCCGAAAGCCATGCCTTCTCCTTCTCGCTCAGTGGGCGACCGCCCGACTTCAGGACCTTGTTTCGAAGCGACTCGTATCTCTCAACCAATTGCGCCTGTCTCTCCTTCGCAGCCTTCAGCCTCTTATCCAGCGCCTCGCCGCTCCTCGAGCCCTCTCGCCGCTGGCCATCCTCACCAATATCGCTTGAGACCCCCTTGATGCGCTCAGCCACGTCCGAGAGCTGCTTCAGTTGCTCCTGCATCTCCCCTTGCAGCCGCTCACAACGACGGAAAAGATCCGACGCTGCCCTTTCAAGAGCATTCGTGTGAGCAGACAGAATGCGATGTGCAGCAGCAACCAGGTCCAGCGTTGCTGGCGACAAACGCACTTGCTCTTTGAGCGACTGACGTTGTCGATGAGGGACATGCTTCTCAACGAAGAACTCCAGAGGTGAGTCCGAATAGAGAATAGAAGGGACTTGGTAAGGAGGTCTTTTAGGTGGTAGAATGGGAGAAGTTGGCGCCTGCGCCCCTGAAACAATTGGTCCCATATCTGCAGTTGGTGGAAAGCTGACCTCAGGCGCATCCATGATGGCAGCATACGGGCGAGACGCGTGGTGGCTCAACAGCAAATAACCAAGATCATAGTCATAGAAAACCAGAGAAGAGGCCAGATGGTCTGATTCGCCTTTAACAGCACTGCCACCATCATCTATTTGGATGATTCGCTCTCTGAGAGATACTGTGCCTTCGCACAGCACTTGTAAACGAAAAGCTGAGCCCGCCGTATCCTCTGACTGGAGCTCGGCCTCAAGCCTCTGCACCCACGAACTTAGTGAAATAGATGTGACATTGGTTGCGGTCGTGACGAAGAAGCTGTATCGAGAGATAACATCGTTGGTGAATGTCGGCCAATTGTTCAAATGCTGGTCTTCTTGTCTGATGGTATCCAATGACTCAACCAAGACCAGATCAGATGGCTCAGACAGGGGGGTGCTGAAGGCATTCTTCTTAAGCTTGGGGAGCCACTGCCCCTCAACGCCATCAAGTTCTAAACAGATATGGACCCTGCCAGTGCGGGTCGACAGGCAAATAACAGTGGCCGACAATTGATCGTTGTCTTCCACCGAGAGCTCATCATCTTCACCCATCATGAGAGCGTCCACGTCGACTTTTGACGCAACGACAAGGACGTCACAAAGGTCCAAATCATCAAGCTCGGCCCCAGTTTCGACACGAAACGGACCCTGCAACCTGGGGATCGCGCTGGGATTGGCGGGACGCGTCAGGATTTCCGACCCGGATTCTAGCTCCGAGCCAGCAATGGTCTGTAAGGGATCCTGGTTATCAATCTCCGTAAGCCAGTCATACTGCTGTCGACAGGCTGTCAGCTCATCCTCATATTCCGACGAGGCTTCCTCCATCGCCGACAACTTTGGAACAATGGCCGAAGTAAGGGAGGGAATAGTAGTCGCAGGAGCTCGCCATTTGGAAGGCAACAACGGGCAAAGGGCGTAAAGATCACCAGGCCGCATTGCGACCCACAGTGTCATTGGTGCCCATGCGCTCTCCTTCTCGCTTCCGCTACCGCCAAAGCAAGCTGAGGCGACTTCCATATCAACGAAATCGGCGGAGAATCCTTTGTTCTTCCCAAACCCAGAAGGTGAAAAGTCCTGGTCGCAAGATGTTCCGTCCACCAATTTTCTCAGATCAACCGCCAGCGTAGGTCGGTCGAATGACCAGTGGTTGTTCCGGTCCAGCTCCCATACGCGGACTGCGGCATCTGCGGTGACGGTGATAAGACAGCCTCCAAGATTGCTGTGCACCCCCAAAGGATGCCAAAGCGCCGAAACAACGGGCGACTCAGGGATAACATGCGTAGTGGGACCAAGCTGGTAATACTTGAGACGGATAGGTGAGCGATCCGTACCAGACAGGTGCGATGAATCTGGTAGCACCGCGATGTACACCGTATGATCTGTTACAATGGCCAGAAAAGCGCCATTTGGAGAAGGAATCATCTGCCGAATCCGTTCGTAGACTGGTACGATCAGGACCTAGTCGTTCATTAGCCACGACACTGAGCTAGACATGCAAAAGCTTGTGCGAGAATCGGTCATACTCTGTAATAGTCTGTCTCATCGCTGTCTGACGGTCCCTCAGAGATCCTTGTCTGACCAGAAGCGTCCTTCTTTGATCTGGACTGCTGCTGCCATACATCCTTCAATCGAGTAAGGCTCGACCACCGGATCTGATTGTTCACCACGGTGAAGACCTCGTTTCCTCGCTTTGCCAAGGTTCTTGTCGGGCCGCTATACTCCGCTTCATTCTCCGGAAGATAACCTGGTTTTTTGGTCGATGTGCTTGCAAAGAGTGTTGCGCCGGGTGCAGGGCGCGATAGCCATGGAGGAGTGTAGCTGATGAGTTTCGGCATCGTCAGCGGTTACGGCGAACAAGTTGAAAATGGAACCAGAAATGAATTGCGGATGACTGAAGTTTATTCCATATCCTCAGTAAGCTGGGGGAGGATAATTGATTCAAATTGAAGGTTGATTGGAATGACGGCAACGATAGCAACAAACAGCGGGCCGGGGTTTTTTTGGTCGCAGGAGGAAAAGCGCGCCAAGACAAGTGAAAGCTCCGCCCTTGAGAGAGCTCTTGATGTCCAGCTATCCTACGTATTCAAACTGCATTCCCGTCATCTTCATCGTTGCTCTATCTCGCGCATATCTGGCTGCATTATCTCATATTGCTTGAAATAATTGCCTTGTTCTTGTCCAGAATATACGACCGCGTTTACAATATAATGAGTACTTTGGTCCACAACACAGTCGATAGGCTGGATCGGCCTAGCGCCTATTACCTGGCAAAGGTGCGCTTGCAAACCGCTTTTGGCTTTGATCATTTCCTAATAAGGTCTTTTTGAATGGCAGAACAAGAAACGCAAGTACAGCCAGGATGAGTCTGAGAGGCCAGAGGACCCAGTCGACAAGTTGAAGGATGCCACAACACTCTATGTCGGAAACCTGTATGTCGAGCGAAACAATGCATTCATGCCCATAATTATGGCGCATACTGACTTTCTAAAGTTCTTTTTACACAACAGAGGAGCAAATTCATGAGCTTTTCTCAAAGTCAGCCGACCCGCAAGCCCAGCATGGCATGATGCCCAGAACTAACAGGCGCATATAGGTGCGGTGAAATCAAGCGCCTTGTAATGGGGCTGGATCGATACAACAAAACTCCCTGTGGCTTCTGCTTCGTGGAATACTATACCCATCAGGATGCCTTAGACTGCTTAAAGTATATCGGAGGCACCAAGCTTGATGAGAGAATTATCCGTACAGATCTTGACCCTGGCTTTGAGGAAGGACGTCAGTATGGGTACGTGATGCTACATCTTTATCAGACGAGAGAAGAACAGGAGTGTCTAACTTTCGGCAAAGGCGAGGAAAGTCTGGTGGGCAGGTGCGCGACGAATACCGTGAAGAGTACGATCCGGGCCGCGGTGGTTATGGTCGGGCATACGCAGATGACCAGCGGAGGCGGGAAGAAGAAGAGTACGGCAAGGGTAAGTAATTTGGAAATAAATTTGCGTGGTCTATTGGCGCAGACAAGGCGTTTGTACATCACCGATGTCATCTCTATCATCCCGGTAAATTGCACCGGCTGTTCAAGGAAAGGACAATTCTACCAGATACCCAACAATCAACAATTCCGTGCTCAAGAATTGCCAAGTCTATGACTGTTCATATTTCCTTCCTCTTCCTTACCGACTCCTCCACCTGGCGCAACCACCAGGAATGTATTCTGGCATCACCTGTCAACTCGGGGTGAAAGCTTGTTCCAAACACATTACCCTGTTTGACCGCGACGATGTCACCGGTCTCTTTATCTGCGTCGATATGTGTTCCCGTAGCGGCTAGTTTAGCTGCTCTGCCGGAAAGACTTGCAAGTACTTCAACTCCGTCTGCCATCGCCGCCTTGGCCGCCTCACCCTGAGGTTGTTTCGAGGGCGCCACCACCGTCTCGTCCCTTTGAGTTTCGTCCACCTGAATACCTTCTTGATGAGGCAGGATCTTTTCCACCACAGGGGCCCGGATAAAAACTGCTGGGAATGACTGCTCGGTCGGACCCAAGAACGGCAAATCTAAGGGCGCCTCGAAACTCTCTGTTTGCCGGCCAAAGTGATTTCTGTTTACGCGAACGTCGAGACCTCCGATGAGCTCCTGCCCGCCTTTCTTGGTTCGATTAGCAGACTCGGCGAGCAGGATCAACCCGGCACAGGTGCCCCATGTCGGTTTGCGATGGACCCTAGGAAAACAGATTGTCAGTCGCATTGACGGGATAGCCTTGGAGTTAATGCGCGAACATACTTAACAAAGTCCCTCAAAGGCTCCAAGAGGTTCGATCGGGCTGCAACAAGAGAGATAGTCGTGCTCTCGCCTCCAGGTAGGATCAACGCATCACACCGATCCAACTCCTGCGGTGTCCGAACTTCAATGAACTCCCATTGAGTAGTGGAGCTTTGTTCCGAGACTGCCTTTTTCAGCAGCTGGATGTGCTCATAGAATGCGCCCTGTAAAGCGAGAACTCCGACAGTGATGCTGGCCATGGTAATTCCTGCTTGTAGAAAATAACAACTTTTTTGACTCACACCTTGGCCACTCTCCTTCGCCCTGTATACACCCATTACCTAAGCGGGTCAACATTCGGCCGGTATCTATCAGCACGTGCTACCCCGCCTACTGATAAGATTGTTGATTTTGCTGTCAGCAAAGGATTCATGATGTCTCATAGCATATGCATTGGCTATTATTGTGTTTGATGATGACGGATATGACTCGATGACACTTTATGACACTGCTTGTTTTCTTACTTCCTTTATTATGCCGTAGCAGAGAGGTCAATTAAGCCTACGCAGCTACCTCTCCCCGTCCTCCCTCGTTTTTGAAGATATAGCTTTTTGCTCGCGAACCCTTACTGCTTACTTCGCAACTGTCCGGAAAGATGGGCTCTGTACCAAATGAGAGGGAACCTTCTCTTACGCGATGGTATATAGACACACGCCAATTGACAGCGACAAATCAACCACTCCCATTGTTGGAGACCCTCCAACCGTCAGACCAAGAGACAGTCAAGAAGTTCTACCACCTCAAGGACAGACACATGTCCCTCGCCTCAAACCTGCTGAAATACCTCTTCATCCACCGCTCCTGCCGCATCCCCTGGAACAAGATCAGCATCAGTCGAACACCAGCGCCCCACCGCCGACCATGCTTCATCCCCTCTCCCGCCCTGATCGAGGGCACCGACGAGCCCATCCCCAGCATCGAATTCAACGTGAGCCACCAAGCATCTCTCGTAGCGCTCGCAGGCACAATCAGCCCACCGTCAAACGTCGCAAGCACCACCCCGGCTGCGGTGTTCGCCAACCCCAGCCCATCCTCAGTCCCAGCCTCCTCCGTCCCTCAGGTAGGCATAGACATCACCTGCGTGGACGAGCGCCGCGCACGCACAAGCTCCGCCCCATCAACCCGCAAGCAACTAGCCGAATATGTCGACATCTTCGCGGAAGTCTTCTCCCAGCGCGAGCTGGAAACGATCAAGAATCTGGGCGGGAGATTTCCGGCTGAGGCGCAGGACGGTGCCCAGGAAACCGAAGCGGTGGAGTACGGCCTCCGCTTGTTTTACACGTACTGGGCTCTCAAGGAGGCGTACATTAAGATGACCGGCGAGGCGCTTCTCGCGCCGTGGCTGCGGGAGCTCGAGTTTACGGATGTCGTCGCCCCTGCGCAGGTGCAGGGCTTAGCTGGGGATTGGGGGGAGCCGTACACTGGCATCAAGACCTGGTTGTATGGGAAGAGGGTGGAGGATGTGCGGATTGAGGTGGTCGCGTTTGAGAATGATTATATATTTGCGACGGCGGCGCGAGGGGCCGGCTTGGGGGCCGGGAGTCGGCCATTACCCGCGAGTGCGGGCGTCACCGTCTCCGTAGATCCTTGGATGCACATGGAGAGGATCGATATTGACAAGGACATTGCACCTTGTGCGACGGGAGCCTGTCAGTGTGTAAAGAAATAGTCTTTAGGAGTCTATTTGAGCGTTTAAGCGTCTGGATGAAGAAGCAGGGGGTAGGTAAATATCTATGCATCTTCACCCACACCCAACAATGGAGAATAATATCACGAAGGATAACGCTATGTACACTCTGTCACGCTGTCTGCACACAATAGTCCGCTGAATTATAGGAAAGCAGAAAGTGAATGATTTGTAGGCCACTTATTCTCCTCGGCATCTCTGATAGTCGTATCCAAAATCTAAATCCTGCAGGTCTATCCACAAACCACCCCAGGCACCAAATATCTCTTAGCGATTCTAGAGCACAAGGACATAAGCGAGAGGTACTCATCTCGGCCTGTTCATAATCTCGAATATCAATATAGCCGTCAGTCATGCAAGAGGCGAAGAATAGACAGGCCGCGCTAGCGTGATCATCACCACAGTAACAAGCCAGGAACGGACGTGATCGTAACTCATGGACGGTCGATGCAACCGATTAGATCTCGACAGCCGTGGAAGTAGCCTTCTTGACTTCTGAGTCGACCTCATCGCGATCCTGATCGGCCAGCTCGAGGAGAGCCTTGAGCATGCTCTCCTGAGTGGTCTTAGTCAACCGGTCGACATCCGCAGCGGTCAAGCCTTCCGTGCTGATGGGAGGTAGGACTAGGACGAGCCTGTCAGTCTCATACCGGGGAAAAGAAACATCGCATGCACAAACCTTTGATCTTGATCGTGCCAGGGTTAAACCGCATATTACGCGGCGACAGGACGTGCGAGTAGTTCTCCGCGACGATAGGAACAATCGGCACACCCGCCTTGACCGCCAGATGGAACGCTCCCTTCTTGAAAGGCAGCAACTCGGGCTTCTCGGAGTAACTCCTCGTTCCCTCGGGGAAGATGAACACGCTCTGTTTGTACTTGCGCATCTCCTCCGCCGCACCGTCAAACGCCTTCATCGCCGTCTCGCGGTTGGCCCGGTCAATGAAAACCGTCCGCGACAGCGCCATGAACCAACCCAAGAAGGGGATATTTTTCAACGACTTCTTCGCGGTGACGCTGCAGTACGGAGGGAAGATGTAGCCCAGGAGGAGCACGTCGAGCTCGGACTGATGGTTACCGATGAAGACCGCAGGCCGGGTGGACAGGTGCTCGGCCCCCTGGACAATGTCGAACTGCACGCCGGTTGTATACCGCATAACCCATTTGAAACTGCGCGCGGTGGCCCATTGGGAGACCCGGCCGTAGCCTACGAGGCGAAGGACAATGGATGCGATTACGCCATAGCATGCGCAGAGCAAGAGAGAGCCATAGGCCGCAAGACACCGAGCGACGAAGGCCGCTCGAGGGACTTTTTGGCCGAGTGCGAACAGGGAAAGCGTCACGACGATAAACGAGCTGATGCCCGAGGCGATGTAGGACAGGAGCGACATGGTAAAAGACCGGGGAAAGCAATCTTTGGGGTTACGATAAGCTGTATAAGTAGCGTCGAAGTCACTAAGTCGTAAAATTCACACTCTTGCTGAGCCGTACCCCTCCGTGGCAGCTGATTTCGGGTGTGAGGACAGGCGTGGTGGTCGGAACAAGGATGCGCAGGAGACTCAGAAAGCGGCAATGGCCATGACCCGAGGAGGTGACAGAGGTTGGCGGGTTCAGGATTCTCTGGCCTGGTAGCCGGATGCCGATTAGGAACAAGGAAGAATGAAGAATGGGTCGTTGATGCTCGTGCCCGAAGATCGCCAACAATATTCCTGCCTGCTCAACTCTGGAACTTTTTTCCTGATTTTCGGGGCACCAACATCATTCTTCCGCTCACCGCCTTGCAACTCTACAATTATTCCCTACGAAGTATTATTCTTGGAGGTAATTTCCATGGGTCAGGCTCGAATGTGATGGATGGAATTGATTTCCGTAAGAATAAGAATAGGCATAAGAATGACATCGCAGATTATGCAAGTGCCTTTGTTCGACAGACATCTATGTCCATGAATCTGTCGTCCAGACGGCTTCGTCTCTCATATGCAGCCAATGACCAGCCCCGACAAAGCCAACCCACGCTAATATACAAGAAACAAGAATCACCAGCCTCGGCTCCCTCCTTGAGAACCTGATGCAGGGTAAATGCACCTCTAACCAACCCGGCCTGCAAAACGCCCTTATAATGCTAATGCTGCAAAAATCCAAAATCAAATTCAACGCCGACTCTCATGAATGCAAGCCCCGGATAGCAGGCACCTGGTGAAGAAGGAGGAAGCAAGTAAGATCCAGAATTGGATCGATGTGGAAAGTGGACGGCAAATCAAGTCATGTCCTCATCATCCTCCTCGTCATCGTCGAGAGATTCCATGGCATCCTTGATGTATTGTGCTGCCTGGAACCGAACCAGTTAGCATGCTCTGGTAATATGACAGAACGGAAGTGATGGGCATACCTTAGGATCCAAGTTCAAAGCAGTTGTGAAGTGCTTAATGGCATTCGCTTTGTCGTGGAGCATCTTGTAGAGCTTACCCAACAGATAA